CGCAGTAGGGGGCATGCAGGAGGCAGCCAAACAATGATTCTCTCTCATCATTGATGTTTCTCTCTCTGTCTCTCTCCCTCTCCCTTCCTCTCTGAAATCAATAAAAATATATTTTAAAAAATAAAGAAAAAGAAGAAACTCAACACTTAAGGTATTCAAGACAAAACTTCTGTCGGCCTAATAATCAATGTTACCAAACAAGGATTTGTTCATTTCTTCAAATGTGTATTAAGAACCACATGCCAAGCAATATGTTGACCATGAGGGTTCCAAAATGAGTAATACAGTCCCTGACCTCCTAAAAACATACAGGTTAGTAAAGAAGACAGACAAGAAAATAACATGATAGGTTCATGCAGGAAAAGCTACGAGGTGAGCACACTGAGGACACCATGTTAGGGAAGCCCAGGAAGGGCCCTTCAATCAGGATCAGCTCTTAGTTTCTCAGATAACTTCACACCACCCTCCTGGGAGCAAAGCCAACTCTTCCACTGAGTTAATAGTGCTTTGGGAATGAAGGGGTGCAAAATACTACCTATGGGGGGGATGTAGGGGGGGAGGGAGAGAGAGAGAGAGAGAGAGAGAGAGAGAGATCAACTTGAGACACATAAATTGGTTGCCTCCCACGTGCGCCCCTACCAGGGCTGAGGAACCTGCAACCCTTCGGTCCTAGGCCTAGGGTGATGCACTCCAGTGGTTCTCAACCTTCCTAATGCTGTGACCCTTTAATACAGTTCCTCATGTTGTGGTGACCCCCAACCATAAAACTGTTTTTGTTGCTACTTCATAACTGTAATTTTGCTACTGTTATGAATCGTAATGTAAATATCTGATATGCAAGGATGTATTTTCATTGTTCGCAACCCACAGGTTGAGAACCGCTGCACTGATTCAAATCAGCCAGGGCACCATCCATAATTATATAAAGAAATCTGTTATTAACTTAAATTAGTAAGTTAGACCAATTAGTGAAGGGGATTAAGTCCAAGCCCAATAATGAGTTTAAATTGTGGAATGAATGTTTTGAGCAATTTTTTCTCTTCAAGACTGCAGAAAAATAAAAAATAACCTTCTTGACTGCTGAGGAGGGCTAAACTCATTTATTTTTCACAAGCATGCAATAAAAAGTAATTACTTTCTGCTCTCACTCAACACAAAGCAATACCATCTTCCCCCTCTCATCACCACCAAAACATCCTATATTTGAGTACTTTAATCTTACACCATAGAATCTCAGATTGCGCCGCTGGTGTGGCTCAGTGGTTGAGCATCTACCTATGAACCAGGAGGTCATGGTTTGATTCCCGGTCAGGGTATATGCCCAGGTTTGGGGTTCAATCCCCAGTGGGGATTGTGCAGGAGGCAGTCAATCAATGATTCTCTCTCATCATTGATGTTTCTATCACTCTCACTTCTTCTCTGAAATCAATAAAAATATTTTTTAAAAAGAATCTCAGATTGCAATCAAGTTACAATGCAACAAAAACATATTTCTCTAAGTATGTTCTCATCTCCCATGGTGCTCCCATAGTAATTTAGCTCCCTAGTAAGTATTAACAATCAAGGAAATCAGAAAATTCTTAGAATAGATATGATAAGCTTCTTGTTTTTTTTTAAAATTTGTTATTGTTCATGGATTCCAAAGTTCAGAATACATACTACCAGGAAAGTGTTTCTAATTTTTCAAGGCCCGAATTTAAATGCAAATTACTATTTAATTATATGCAATTTTCCCTCTAAACCTATGTATACGAATCAGTCTCCAGATGTTTTTAAAAAACAAACTGATCATGTTTACTAAAAAAGTGTATTGCCTAATAACCAAAAAGTTCTAACGTATCAAAAAAGTGGTCACTGTCAGCTCTACCCATGAATGACAGTTTGACTGACAGACAAGCTGTTCTGAAAAGATTAGGAACGTCCAGTGATGGCAGGAGGCACATACAGTATCTGTAGCTACTTTAATAATAAAACTGTTTCAACATAAAAAATTCAGAGACTACAAAGTCATATATGTGAACTGCAAGCTATCTAAATGCATGCATGTTTAAAAAGAAAGAAGTAAATAAATAAATAATAAGTAAATAAAAAGAAAGAAGCAGGACAAAAACTGTCTATACTCAAATCAACATGAGAAATCATCCTTCCTTTGAGCTTTTTAAGAATTGAAAACTTAATAAGGTTCTTTAGGTTATCAACTCATTTCCAAAATAGAGCAAAAAATATATACACACATTTTGAATAATTATAAAGGCAGTATCTATTAAAATACACATCTTTTTCAGCTGTCAGCTGTTACAGTTTGTATACACTTGGGGGGACATCCTGTATATTAAAATACAATTGACACAAAATAATACCACCACATAGTCTATGTTGGAAGACACAATCACAATAATAGGATTTACTTGTGATGGACACACAGTTCTAGGGACTTCACATTTTAACATATTTAGTGTTAACAACATCCCTGTAAGACAGGTAGTATTATGATTATCTCCATTTATACAAATGAAGAAACTGAGGCACAGATAGATGAACACCCCCAATGTCATATAGTGGTAAGAAGCAGAGAATGGATTTTAGCCACATCAGTCAGACTCCAAAGTTCATGTTAACCAATACATACAGTAAGGGTCATGCAATAGTCGGCTTTTTTTTTTTTTTTTAAACCTTTTTGAGCCCTGACCGGTTTGGCTCAGTGGATAGAGTGTTGGCCTGCGGACTGAAGGGTCCCGGGTTCGATTCCAGTCAAGGGCATGTACCTTGGTTGCGGGCACATCCCCAGTACAGGGTGTGCAGGAGGCCGCTGATAGATGTTTCTCTCATCAATGTTTCTAACTCTCTATCCCTCTCCCTTCCTGTCTGTAAAAAATCAATAAAATATATTTTTAAAAAAACAAAAAACCTTTTTGAATCTCAAACACTAGGATAGCTTTGCAATAAGAAAAGTACAGGCTTTGGATTCAAACAGACTCAAACAACCCCCCCGAATAATGTCTGAACCTCAGCTTCCTCATATGTAAAATGAGGATACTTAAGTTATTGTGGAGGTCAAAGAATATAGAGTGCCAAGTACAGTACACAAGATAGAAGTAAGCTCACAGACACCTAGAGGATCCACGGCTGGACTTCGCAATCCACGAGTCTCCTAAGTTGTAGGACAGATACTGTACGTCTACCCATTTTTTTAAGAATCGCCCCTGGCTTTCCATAACCTTTCAAGGGGTACGTGATCTCCAAAAGGTTACACAAGCCACCGGAATACATAGCAGGTACTCAAACTATGAATTATCTTTCCCTTCTTGTCCTCTAAAACGCCCCTTTTCCCACTAGGAATGATACACCAAGGCTTCACAAGAAATCTCAACTATTCCCCACCATTTCCCTGGCTTGGTAACTCGTTTTCTAAAGGACCCCGAAACGCTGCTTCATCCCTCCCTTCTCCGAGAGAAACAAAAGGTGTTCACTCGGGAAGACTCTTCGACTCTCGCCCACCAGCTGCAGAAAGCACCGCACGGGCAGGAGAACCGGGCAGGAACCAGAGCTTCCGAGCGGCACCACAGAGACCTGACGCCCGGCGCCGCGGGAGGGGGAGAATGCGTTTCCCAAAACTACCGGACCACCCAGAATTCCGCCCCCGGTGCCCCCTGCCCCCACCCCACACACCCAGTCCTCTCTCGGAAACTCCGGTGCAGGCGGGTCCTCTGCCTCGCGCGGGAGCGGCGGGGAGAGAGACGTTACCAGAGCTGGAGGGCGCAGCGCGACGACGTCCCAGCTCCGCGGCCCCAACGGGCGGCGCCGCCCCCGGCAGAAGACCGGCCCTCGACTCGCCCCACAAGGGATCCAAGTGCAGATCTCCACCCGGGCTGGAAACCGGCTCCGGGCTTTTCCGTTTTCCAAAGCGGCTTCCGCTTCCGGGCTAGCCTTTGCCGGAAACAGTCTATGGGTGACGTAAAAGTGTCGCGCCGGCGGTGATTCCGGAAGAAACAACAGTGCGGCGTGAACATGGTGAGAGAGGAGGGTTGAGAAGGGATATGGTCAGACCGCATTGGAGCTGAGATTCAGGGGGTCATCCCCTGGCCAGTGTTCATGCCCCTGCTTGTTTTCATTCTGATCTTAGCTCTTAAACTGCTCCAAGCGGGGCCTGTAATGCTCCAGCGAGTAGGGAGTGGGCCGGGTTGGGGCAGAGAGGATCGGAGGAGCTGGGTCTTTTGAGGGAAGAAGGGAAGGGAATGGGCAAAAGAAAGGAAGGAACTCAAGAACATGGGATGTATTTTCCGACTCTTAACTCTAAAATTTCTGTTTCAAGGGGAAGCAAAAGAAAACGAGGAAGTATGCGACCATGAAGCGAATGCTTAGTCTCAGAGATCAGAGGCTGTGAGTGTCTGGAATCAACGGGGTTCATAGACTGCCCAAAGATGTAGAAGTCACGAGGGGATAAGTCGTTAAAACTTTTGTTGTTACTTTGCATTCACTTTTAATAGCATTGTGTCTTGGATGTATGTATATAGCATGAGATAGTCAAGTGTATAACAGCCACTTAGCTGCTGAAGGAGTACCCTGGAAAATGGGGCTGGAATTAAACATCTAAGCGTTCACTTTGTGCCACCATTTTTATATATTTTATCTACCATATCACATTTAAGCCTCCTAATATTTCTGTGAAGTGGGTGGAATTATGTTTATGTTCTTGTCATTAGACTACTATATTCGATAGGAAAAAAATGTTATAATTGTTGAAGGAAGGTGAGGTCAGAGGTGATCTTTGTCTTGTGTCTCCAGCACCTGACACTCAAATATTTTTGAAAGAAAGAATGGGAAACACCTAGATGTCTTCATTTTATAAATTTCATAAGAATTCAGATGACTGTGGAAGAAGAAAGTGGAATGATGTTCCCTATTATAAGGAGGGTGTGAAAAGCTTCACAGCTTCAATGAAGAATGGACAAAGTTAGTAAGGACTGGTATTGTGTTTAAGAGTCTCAATACAAATGAATGGCCATTAGAGCTTTCAGAGTTATTAAATTGTATTTTCTGCCTTTAGTGTGTATTATGTAATTTTGAGGAAATTTCCCATTAATAATATTTTATTTCTAGTTAAAGGTTAAATTTTGTATCTGTATGGTTACATTTTAGCCCTTTATAAAAGGTGTATGGGGATTCCTCCCCCGTTCCTACTGTTGAAGCATCTGAAGACAAACATCAGCCTTTTTACCCACTGCTCGAAAGTGGATTTTGGTCTTTGATAAAAAGCTTCTGACTAAAGAAGAAATGATAGTATAACCAACATTTATTTATCCATTAAAAAATTTTATGGGTTTTTGGCGAGAGATTGTTAAATTTAATTATGTCTAATAAATTATGTAAACTTCCCACACAGTTATTTGTGTTCAAAATTATATATATTTATATTAATGTAAAAAATGTATGCTTAGCCCTAGCCAGTTTGGCTCAGTGGATAGAGTGTCGGCCTACAGACTGAAGGGTCCCAGGTTCAAATCCGGTCAAGGGCACATGCCTGGGTTGCAGTCTCCATCCAACGTGCAGGAGGCAGCCAATCAATGATTCCCTCTCATCATTGATGTTTCTATCTCTCTCTTCCTCTCCCTTCTTCTCTGAAATCAATAAAAAAAAAATCTATTAAAATATGTATGCTTATACTAATGTAAAGAAGTCACAAAGTAAGATTTTCTCTGAAGACAAAAAGAAACTTTAAATTTTGATGAGATTATAACTGCTATTCGTTTTTCTTTCCTGCATTTAATTTACTTTTTTTTTCCCTAGTAAAGAAAAGGATAGATTAAAACCTAAAAAGAAAGAAAAGAAAGATCCCAGTGCACTCAAAGAAAGAGAAGTGTGAGTAATCAACATTTTCACATTTTCCTTTAAAACATTCTAAAACCATAGACCCCTTAGAAATCCAGGATTTCTCAAACTGATTTGCTCAGTCATTTCTAAGTATAGCACAACTATGCATATGAAAGTGATATTGATGAGCATATACCAACTCCAATGGTTCAAATGTTTTTTTATTTCATGGAGCAGTAAAATTTTCTTTAAAATCCTGGGGATTAAATCTAATATCATTATTTGTTTTCTTTGCCAAGAATCTTTCAAAAGAAATAATGGTCATTGTTTAACACACTGGCATTTCTTAAAAGAGAGAATGTATCATCAAAAAAATAGTAAGACCATATTTTTAGAATAAAGGTTATTTCTTGTAAATAAATACATTTAATTTTATGAAACCTCATCACATTTTGCTTATTTTCCTCATTTTGCCCTAGTATGGTGATGGATAAACCATCACAGGATTTATCTCCAAGAACAAAGAAAAAAGAGCTTAATCTAGAGCAATCTGTTCCAAGTAGAGACTCTTTTTGTTCATACCAAAGTATCAATGTAGATATTACTTTGTGTTTTGTTTCTTTCTCTTTCAGCCCCCAACACCCCTCCTGCTTATTCTTCCAATATAACACACAGCTAGGCCCACCTTACCACATCCTGGTTGATACCAACTTTATCAACTTTTCCATTAAGGCCAAACTGGACTTAGTGCAGTCAATGATGGATTGTCTCTATGCCAAGTGTGAGTATCATACTTTTACATTTCTGTGACATTTATAATCATATTTATCCAAATACATGAAAAGAGGGGAATGGGGTTCTAGTTAACTTAACTGTTGGGCATTTAATGTGCTCACCATAGCAATGACCATTTTTAATAAATTGAAGTATAATGCAAACTTGACTGGGAATAAATTCTCTCAATTCAGAAAACACTTAGTGTGCTTAGGTACTTATTATGGACAATAACTTTGAAAATACTAGGGGAATTTTCTGTTGCCTAATTCTGGATTTTAAAATTCTGGATAAATGAGCAGCCCTGGCCAGTGTGGCTCAGTTGGTTGAAGCATCATCCTGTACACCAAAAGGTGGCAGGTTCGATTCCTGGTCAGGGCACAGACCCAGGTTTCAGGTTTGATCCCTGATCAGGGTGCATATGGGGGTAGCCAGTGGATGTTTCTCTCTCACATCAGTCTCTCTCTCTCTCTTTCTCTCCCTCCCTCCCTCTTTCTTTCTCCCTCCCTCCTTCTCTCTTTCTCCCTCCCTTCCTCCCTCCGTCCCTCCTTGCTCTCTCTAAAATCAATAAAAAATGAAGTAAGTAAAATTCGGGATAAATGAAAATTTATTATATTTCTCAGTATATATATTCTTATTCTTTTACATTGAGGAGGAAGCATTCTTCATTCCACTCCAGTATAGAAAAGCGAAATAAGACATTTTGTCATTTACAATCACAGAACCGGAAGTGATGATGGTCACTGCTTCCTACTTTGGTATTTATTTGTACCACAAAGGAGCTGGGGTAGTTTACACCTAGGTATACGGTTTACCATTAATAAATGTCCCTTGAGTATTTAGATGTCCCTGCCTTCAAATGATCTTCTCTCACTACCGTGAATAGGGAAAAGAAAATTTAGGCCATGTAAAAGGGAATAATAGTGAGATCTGTTGCATTTTGTGGTGAGTTTATATTCATAATATTTTCCAGTCATCTGGTTAAAGGTACAAGTGAAAAATAGACTTATGCTTTTCCATAATGAATGAATTATTGGAATCAAAGGAATAATTTGCACCTCCTTCTTTAATATTTAAAAGATACTATAATGAGTAACATTTAGAGTGATAGTGATGTAAATGTTTATTGATGTATTAAAACTAGCAAGATGGTATAAGGATATGATAGATAAAAACTAAATTCTTTAAATGTCTAAAATGAATAAATATAAAAAGTGTGGCTCTAGCTGGGTTTGCTCAGTGGATAGAGCATCAGCCTGCAGAATGAAGGGTCCCAGGTTTGATTCTAGTCAAGGGCACATGCCCGGGTTGTGGGCTCAGTCCCCAGTGTGGGGCGTGTAGGAGGTGCTGATCGATGATTCTCTCTCATCAATGATGTTTCTATCTCTCCCTCTCCCTTCCTCTCTGAAATAAATAAAAAATATATATATTTTTTAAAAAAGTGTGCCTGGCCTCAATGACTCAGTAGTTGAGCATCGACCTATGAATTAGGAGGTCACGGTTCGATTCCTGGTCAGGGCACATGCCCTGTTTGCAGGCTCCATTTCCAGTGTGGGGCATGCAGGAGGTATCCGATCAATGATTCTGTCTCATCATTGATGCTTCTATCTCTCTCCCTTTCTCCCTTCCTCTCTGAAATCAATAAAAATATTTTTTTAAATCAATAAAAATATATAAAATTTTTAAGTGACTACATAAGTTTATTATGTTAATATACGAAGGTAACTACCAAGTGAGGAAAACAGCTAATAGAGTAAAATAATTATCTTTTTAAGGATCAGAATTGATGGGGTAGGGAAGTTTCAGGGGACCGTTACTTGTTCATATAGGCCTTTCTGTATTTCTTTTTAAAGCTATGTATATGTAATACTTTAAATTTTTTAAAAAATCTCTTAGAAATAATAAAGATTAGTCTCAAGTCGGGGCACTAACATGGCTGTAAGAGTGAACTAGGAAGGCCCTTTATGAGGAAAGACACTAAACTTGGTAGACTTCTTGTATTTCCATGGTGTTTCTTATAGTTGTCTTAGCTGCTTCTCCAGCTTCTCAGGAATGCTGTGACCTGTTTGTAAATGAGATGGATCAAGGGTACAAGCCTGGCCCTTGGAGGTGAATTGTTTCCTTAATGCTATAGCTCCACCATTATTATCTACATGATGATTGTTTAAGAGAGCTTTAGCCCAGTTTAGGCTTTCTCTAGATATGGATACTTTAGAGGACAGCTATAATGCCTTTTCTAAAAACAAGCTTATTAAGGAGAATACCACTTTTTGCTGTCTTTTGTGTAACATAATACCTCAAACTAAAGGCTGAAGAAACATTTAAGTAAGTGCAAACTCACTTACCTAGGAGATTAACTGTTTTAAACTCTGCTTACTAATTTTTCTTCACTTGCCTTTATACCTAAAGGAAGGCCTTTATCTTCTTCTTGCCTTGAAGATGTCCCTTTGACCTTCTCATAGCTCCTGGGATATTCCATTTCCATCTGATACTCCAACAAGAAAGAATAGTTAGCTTCCCATCAGCTTTCTTTTATGCCCATCAGTCCTCTTTCCTATTACTTTCCATTTCTTTATAGTGATTTTAACATTTCTGTACTTTGCTTTCAAAAGTATTAATGTACTTGAAAAAATATATAGCATTAAAAAAAAATGAAAGTTCCCTATAATGCCTTACCTCAGAGAGGGTCGGTTTTAAAAATTCATATACAATCTCTGTAGGGTGAAGGTTTTTCTTTTAATGAAAATGGATCATACATTACTTACTATGTATGTTCGTGCTTTTTTTTAACTGCTTTGAGATATGTCATATACTATATAATATGCCCATGTATAATAATAAAAGCGTAATATGCTAATTAGACCGGACATCCTTCCAGACAAAGCCGCAGCATCAGGGGCCAAGGCAGAGGCCCCCCAGCCACAGCGGCAGATGGGGGCCGAGCCCCTTGCACGAATTTCGTGCATTGGGCCTCTAGTTTAAAGTATATAATTCAATGGATTTTAGTGTAGTCATAGTCAATATTTTAAAATTTTCACTACTGCCCTGGCCAGTGTGGCTCAGTCAGTTGGCGCCGTCCCATGCACCAAAGGGTTGCTGGTTCGGGTTCAGTTCCCTGTCAGGGAACCTGCCCAGGTTTTGAGCTCTATCCCAGTAGAGGGCATGTGGTAGGTGACCAATCAGTGTTTTGCTCTCACGTCAAAGTTTCTCCCTCTCTCTTCCTATCTCTCTGAAAATCAATTTTTTAAAACCCACATTTTTATTTATTAAAAAAACCCACAAAACTGTGGATCCTTAGCCAACATCCCTAAACTCTTCTCTTTCCCACCATTCCTAGGCAACCACAATTTGCTTTCTGTCTCTGTAGATTTGGCTATTCTGGACATTTCATTAAAATGGGATCATAAAATATTTGGTCCTCTTTTATTTAGCACAACATTTTCAAAAGTCACCTATGTTAAAGCATGTACATCATTTCTTTGTATTACCAAGTAATATTCTATTGTATGGATAGATCACATTTATCCATTTCTCCTTGCTTTTTATATTGAAAAAATATATCATGAATGTTTTTCTGTCAGTAATTCTAGTTTTTACCCTGTTATAAACAAGGCTGTAGTGAATATGTCTGTGTTAAAGTGAAGTATTTTAGAGAGGGAGAGGGAGAGAGAAAGATATGTTGTTCCACTTATTTATGTTTTCATTGGTTGATTCTTGTATGAGCCCTGACCAGGAATCGAACCCACAACCTGGGCATGTGCCCTGACTGGGAACTGAACGTGACCTCCTGGTTCGTAGGTCAGTGCTCAACCACTGAGCCACATCAGCCGAGCTCATGGGTCTTCCTAAGATTCTTGGCAGGATATAATTCAGAGAGAGTAAAATCAGTTTATTCACAAGTTCTTTTATTAATATGTGGTGTTTTTTTTTCTGGCAGGTATCCCTTGTATAACTGACTGTGTAATGGCTGAAATTGAGAAATTGGGGCAGAAGTATCGAGTAGGAAGAAGCTGGTTGGTCTAGCTTTGTTCTAGGTTGGTATACTGAATATTCTTTTGACCTTTCTTCATCTGTTTGCTGTCCAAAGATTTCTTAGCTGAGTAGATTAAATAAAAATATAAAATTAGTTAACTATGGTCAAGAACACAGACATTTGAAGGCTAGAGACATTTTAAGCTGAAGCCTTTTTTAAAAATTACATTTATTGGGAAACATTACTTAATAACATTATATAAGTTTCAGATGTACAATTTTATACAGCATCTGTATATCCCATTATGTGCTCATCACCCAAAGTCTAGTCTCCTTTTGTTGCCCTATGTTTGACCCCTTTTACTCTCTTCACCATATTCCTCCTACCCCTTCTCCTCTGTTAACCACCATACTGTTGTTTGTGACTTTTGTTTATTCATTGGTTGCTTTTTTGTTTTATATCCCACATATGAGTGAAATCATGTGGTTCTTGTCCTTTGCTGTCTTATTTTGCTTAACATGATACTCTCAAGGTCCATTCATGTCACAAATGGCAGTATTTCACCTTCTTTATGACTAGTATTCCATTGTATTCGTATGCACAGTATCTTTATCCAACCATCAGTCGAAAGATGCTTAGGTTGTTTCTATGTCTTGGTTATTGTGAACTGAGTTACTTAGTCATATTGGTCTTGTGGGCCTCCTTTTAATTCGATTTTCAATTAGAAAGTGTCTTCCTATTAGTTTATCTAGACAGCTCCTTCAGAATCTCACAGTTAGAGCATTCATATTCTAAGTTTTGACTTTACTCTAGAACAGCCGTGGGCAAACTACGGCCCGCGGGCCGGATCCAGCCTGTTTGAAATGAATAAAACTAAAAAAAAAAAAAAGACCGTACCCTTTTATGTCATGATGTTTACTTTGAATTTATATTAGTTCACACAAACACTCCATCCATGCTTTTGTTCCGGCCCTCCGGTCCAGTTTAAGAACCCATTGTGGCCCTCGAGTCAAAAAGTTTTCCCACCCCTGCTC